AAAATTTGTGGGAATATTTTGTTTATTAACGTAGATATTAGCTAATTTATTTTATATAAAATAATAATAATTTTGAAACAGATTCTTAATACTAAAAAAGCGATAAATTTATCAAATTCTTGAGAAATATTTTCGCACTATATTATTTTATAAACAAGTTTACTTGACAAAAAGACTTAATGTCCGTTTTTTAGTATAGATTTTTACTTACAGTAAAGTGAGTTACTTTATCTTTATTTTCGCTTTCAATAAAGTAAAATTTGATCTTTCTCAATGAGAAAACAGAGATAATACTAAAAAAGTCATAATAAATTCAACCATATATGCCATAAACAGCAAATATTATTGTATTAGAAAACATTTTTACATTATTACAAGTCTAATCATTTAAATTAAAAAACAAATATTTATGTACTCTGTTTGTTAAGACAAAAAACGATCAAAATATTTATTTTGTGGCAATAAGTTCATCCAGTTTTGACTGCATCTGATTTGTTACAAATTTATTTTCGCCAAATATTTTCCTAATCTCTCGCCAAATAAATATAAATACCATAAATATTCGTGAGACAGATATGGGTGGGGATGAGCCCTTTCCCTCTGGACGCTGTGTGCAAAGAATTGAGAGTGAAAGCGGCGTTTGTTAAGTTGTCAACTAACGGACTGTATACAGAATAGTACTTAAATCTATGTGAATATCTGGCTCCTGATGTGTAACAGCACATATTTGTATGTGATTTCTATTGAAGTTATATTAACCATTGCACTTCAGTTCAGTATCGATAAAATATTAAGTGCTTTCTGTTTTAAATACATTTTCCGATAAACAAGGTATACTACACATTCAGCACATATTTGTATGTGATTTCTATTGAAGTTATATTAACCATTGCACTTCAGTTCAGTATCGATAAAATATTAAGTGCTTTCTGTTTTAAATACATTTTCCGATAAACAAGGTAACAATTGATGAGTTATATTAAAAATTACACTTTAAAGTATAATCTAATTGATTTTGTTTACAAACAATGTACTAGGAACTAACAATAACACAGAGTATTTTGATAATTATTTACAAATTATTAGAGTCTATGATAAAGTTTCTTAAATTAGTAATGTTTATATAAATAGCATTAATTTCTGTGTTATATCTTATGGTCTCTTTTATAAATTTAGCAATATCATGTCAATAATAATTATTTGGAGTTTAATATTACGATATATTGAATTGACCATGCTGATTAATAATCAGTGATTATAGAGTACCTTCAAAATATTAATAAATATTATGTTATAAAATAGATTCTGTATGTCGTAAATAATTTTTAAAATCTTTATAAATTATAAAATTAACCATAAATTATAAATGTAGTTATAATGAGTTAATTCACAAGCAAACTACTTGCTTTAAAATTCTGTTTTATAAAACTAATCAATCAATACATTGGGAAATATAAAACAGATATTTTGAATTTACTTTACGATAAGATTTTATGTAAATTTCTACTTTTTTAGCGAAAGTGAGAAAATCTCTGATATTTTGTAATAAAAGAAAAATTATTTATTTGTATTTTTATAAATACTAAACATCTCGAGTCAAGGCTTTGCAAAATGAACAAAAAATAATGTAATAGTTGTTGAGTTCTGGGTTAAAATACAGAAAATAGTTACTATAGAGATTAATATAGGGAAAGGTGTCTCAAATTGAGGGGAAAATAGATAGACACTAAACATCTCATTGAGTAACGAATGTCTGCAATTGATTAAAGCAATTGATGGTCAAACACGACTACACCACCAGTTTTTTGCGCTACAATACCCCTAATTATACCTCAACCATTAGGGTGTAAAGTACAACCCTGGATATAATTGATATTATATTTTCTACACTTGATAACTGAGTTTTGTTTAATCAAAAAATGATTTTCTAGCGAACATGACTTGAATTCATGGTTTAAAATCTGTCTATTCGTCGGTTAAGTTTTGAAAAACAAAAAACTAAATTAACTTTTTTCATATTATTTTTAGATTAGCAATGAGTTTACGATTTGGCGATAACTATAGTACAAAGAATCTGAACTCAACACTAAGTCTATGTTAAGTGCACTAAATAGGATTTGGGGGACCGGTAGTGTGCCGGACATACATTCATTTGCAATACCAAACATCAGCAGGGTTACAGACTATGGTTGTCTAAATCTGAAATATGTTAATCAAATTTAAGACTAAGCATACAATGCAGTATTGATGGAAAATTTACCGGTACCTAAAATTAGATAATATTTTATAATTTATGGCTTTGATTTTTGGGAGAATAACAAAAATAAGTTCAATGAATGAAATTTAATCCGGTCTATTTTTTATATGTTTTGGGGGGAGTGTGGGAGGACATGAATATCCAATTGCAAAATTGTGGAAATACAGTGCAATTCAAATGATTAGAAGTGAGGGAAGGGGTTGTTATCTGCATGTTATTGAATGTATGAATGATTTCTCAAAACATCAATTACTCCACTGACTGATCAAATAATTCTCTATTTATTAGTTTATAAATATATTTCTCTTATATTTTTGGTTCAAAGTATCAATTATTTGACAATTTTTCAGACAAAATAGACGCCAAAATTTATAAACTTTTAAAATTTCCGCAAACGGATTATGAAATACAAATTCAGTACAGAAATACAGTATTGAAACTATTTCTTTACTTTTAATAAAACAATTAAACTTTTAAATAAGTTATAATAAATTCTGTTTGTGTTTATAATATAAGTTAATGTAAATGAAATTTATAGTATTATTTATTATATGTGTTAATGAAAATAAATAAGTGGGCTTATTTTTGAAACCCATTTTGTGTTTTGTTATATGATTAAAAGTTTTAAATATTGAAAAGTCTGATCTCTAGTCCCCATAACAACACATTTCTTTAAATAAAAATCGTATGAAAAATATTTTTGTTGATCACAAGAAGAGTTAAAAGCCATTTCTGTGAGGTTTAGAGATCATCGCAAATATTCAAACAACATATAGTTTGTCATCATAAATACAACAACCCTATTAGCTTATTAGGAGTTTACTCCCATCTAAATCACATGCAATATTAATAATAACAAGTTAATTATTTGAAATATTTTTCAACTCCCGTGTACTTAAATTAGTTTAAATAATATTATCAAACATTTTCATATTTTTTGCGCAAATAAATTCATCGGAATAACAATTTTATTGATTAGCAATATTAATAATAATGTTATTATTATCCTGTTCCTATTAAATATTACTGCATAGTGTATGAAACCTAAGATTCCCAGGGATTAAGAATTTTATTTTGTTTTGCAATGAATTCAAACAGTATTTTATAAATAATTTTTATAATATTTTTAATTACTATAAACATATTATATGGATTTTTATTTGAAATAAGATATAAGAATATAAGCTTGAAATTTTAATTTTTATATAATGGTATATATGGTATATAATACAGTATAAAAAATATTTTTATGAAAAATTAAAGTTTTAAGGAAATAAAGTCTACATTTTTATCACAAAATAATTAGTTATTTGAAATATTAATTCAAAATATTTGTTTTGAATAAATTGTTTTCAAACCTAATTTATAAATAAACAATTTCTATTTTTTACTTTTACAAAAAATTCTAGTATTTCATATAAAAAATTATTGATTCATTTTATTAAAGAGTATGCATTGAAAAGAAATTAGTTATTCCATAAATATCCAGGGTCATTATATAACCCTGAACACTTTTATATCATAGTTCCTAAACATAGAAATTATTCTAAAAGATTACATAAAATTCCATTATTGAAAATACTATGCCAAATCAATATTTTTGTTTATTATAGTTAAATATAAATTTTACTTTTATTAATATAAAAAGAGTAGTCTCTCAGATGACCCAAAAAATATAATAAAATATTTGATAAATACATGTAAAACTTTCCTTATTTTTAATGAAAGTTAGGATCATCTGATAGTTATCTGCCATCAAATAGAAATATATTCATATGTTCTCAAAGTGTCAAGCAATTTCTTAATACTCCATCATATTTATCATTTCATAAAATTCTAATATTTTAATCAATTAAATACTAAATATAGACTGTACACGTTGGAAGATTTTTAATTATTTAATTTTTTAATAATTAACAACAAGATAATTATGGTATAAGTATGAATCATATTGGATTTTATACCCAATGAACTCATTTTCATATACGTTTACAGCAAGGAATGTTAGATTTAATCATTTTATTAGATTTTTCATATAATATCTCTTACATAACATTTTAAAATCATTTATTCAGTGCATGTTTAAATTAAAAATATTTTTTTTTGAAATAAGTAATGCATTATAAAATCCTAATTTTTAAATATTATGTACTAATTTAGTTTAAATCACACAAAAACCCGGCAGTTTATTTAGAGTCATAAACACAATTACATTTTAGACATTTAAGCAAGTTTAGGGAAGTCGAGGTATTTTATGTCAATTAAGGTATTCATTATACAATTAGTAATACTAGACCTGGTATAAGCATTTAAAAATCGTAATCAAAAATATTTTTAGATGTACATGACATCAACTTGTGTTAAATTAGCGGTAATGTCGTGTAATTTGTTGTCTTTTTTGGTGATACAAAGGCAGAGGAAATAGTTGTCTAGTATTGGATTGGATTGAAGTGGAAATAACAGATTCTTGTGTACAGCTCCGGCATATCACATGACCCCTACAGACAAACTTCTGGCTTATCTGATGATTAGCTTTCTGTATAAATATTGTGTAAAATACATTTTCCGATCAAATCATTTCTACCATTTGAATGAAAGCATAACTTCTTATGCTATTTAAAGCTATTCATAATCATTGATTACTTATACATATCATAAGTCCTGTATATTATGAACTTATTTATGATATAAAAATTTTTTAAATACAAGTAATTACTGTATTTTACACTCGTTCTCATCACTCTATCCTTTGATTTGTATTAAACTTGTCTTTAAAGTCACTTTTTAACTGTTGATTAACTATACATTAAACATGTATTTCTGTAAACCTGAGGTGAGAAACTATTTAATAACTTATATTTTAAATAGTTTATAAGAAATAAGTCTTACTTTGAAACCAGAAAAGTTTATGAAATGGTATATAATATGAAAATCTTTTTTATGAAACAGATGTTGGTCTTGATGACAATAATAGTGATCCAAATGGTAGTCAATAGCCATTCGTCTCCAATCGCACAAAGATTTGTCGATTACTTGCGTTCAACGGATTTCAATACTGAAGACAATTTGTGCACAAAAGACCCAAACTATCGGCAAATGTGTGAGAAATGTACGAAACTATCGCGAAATGAATTCGTGTTCGCCTTATGTTGTATTAATGACCAGGAAGTGGGCGATTGGTGTCAAAAATACATCAATTATAGCATCGATTAGTCTCTAATTGCACTGAATTTATGTATTTATCAATTGTTTTCACCCGAAATGTGATCTTTTATTTGTTTGCTTACATATTGTCGACATGTTATTACCAATTAATTACAATTATATTTAATGTGATATTTATATGACGAACACAATAATGCATCTCTTATTATGTTTTTAAATTATAATTTATATATAAATATGTATTTAATTTAATGGAAACAAATTTATTATAGAAAATAAAGCACATAATATATTATAATATTTATATTTATAGCGCTATTTGTTTTGACTGTATTTAACAAATTTGTGATTAAATACAACACTTAATACTTAAAAGATTTAGATATTGAAAGAATAAACAAATGTATTGAATGTACAAAAAGTGCATTTATTATTTTATTTGTCTTAAAATAATATGTTATTTTTAGCAAAAAGTTATTTTGTAGACATAAGTCTAATCAATGCATAATAAATATCTTCAAAAATAAGCAAAAAAAAACTTTGTTTAAATTAAAAACATTTACAGAAATTACCAGGACAATAACTTTTAACATTAAGACAGTTTACATTACACCAGAAATCGGTAGCTGTTTTCGATACGGAGTAACAGCCCTTCAAATAACTGCCACCGACTATACCATTACCATGATGACTTTGATATGATCCGAAAGATTTGTCAAAATCTATACAAAAAATTAGTGCAAAAATATTGTGTAAAATGATTAAATATTAAATATGCGATTACAAATATTGCAAAATCCTATCGAAATTTAATTAAGATTACTACATGTATTTTATTTATCTTTTTAAAATAAAATTTTATTTATTTTTTCTATAAATAATTTTTAATTAAAATTAATTATAAAACTAGTGATACCTCCGAATACAAGCGATCGCTTGTTTAGTAATAAACCGTGCGTTGGGTTTGCATTGCAATCGTTGTTAACACTAATAGTAATAATTAAAAGCATTAATACAAACGAATACATTATTTTAGTCATTTTCAACTTTTATATAAATATTTTTTGTATTTTAAATAATAATATATTATTTGATTTTATTTTAACAGATCTTAATTTATATACTATCAATATATGTAGTAAATATATCGTAAATACTTCAGTGGAAATCCTCACAATAAGTCCCTGTCCAACAAATATAAAAACGTGATTTAACTTTATTTTTGACGGATTAGACACCGATTTCCTCTTAATTTATTCATTAAATCAAATACATATGACTTCTATTAAATTATTCAAAATATTCAATGTTTCAATGTCTGTTCATTTAATAAATTAAACATAATTTTTATGATGTAATTATATTTATAATACTGTATAGAAATACAATTTATCCAAATGTTAAACTCATTTTTAGATCAAATTTTATATTTTCAATAACTAACTCAATTTTGACGTTATACAGTACAGTGTATAATATACACTAATAAACCACGTCAATTCACTTTTAATAATGCAATTGTAACCCATTAATAATAATAATAATAATAATTGATTATCAAATTAAGTGAAATCATATTTTATAATAAGATTTTCAATAATTTAATTCTAATAAAAGAGTTAGATTTATTTTAAGATTAATAATAACATGAAGTGAAATACAATATTATAAGTTACAATGCATTTATGTAATGCAAATAACAATAAATTTAAAATTAATAGATACCTAAATTTAGAGATTAGTTATAATAGATATAGTATTACAGTAGATATTAGTTATAAAAGTCTATTAGCGAGAAATTATTTAAAATAAGTTGGTGTATTAAATACAGTAGGTTTTAATAGAAATTAGTAATATTCAAGATTAATTTTAAAAAATAGTAGGTGTTTATCTACTTGTATAGAATCATATTTATGTATTATTGTTTATAAATAGAGCGATATATTTATCAATTTTATTAAATATTTAAGAAACAATAATTTTTAAGACATTTAGTTTTAAAATATTATAGTCTGATTTAGTCAGTAAATATAATTAATATGAATAAAATGTAAAATATATTTTTTTAAAATTAGTGTTTACTGTAAAAAGTAAGATCATGAAAAATTAATTGAGAGTACATCCTAGAGTAAAATATAAGTACATTTATAAGATAAATATTTTTCCAATACTGTGCATTTCAATTAAACTACCCCTTGTAATATATAAGTGCAGATGTTCACAGACAAATAATATTATACATTTTAATTTACAAATATATTCAATAAGGTTTTAAGTAACTTCTTGATTAATCTTAATATAACTTAATGCACTGAATTTCAATTTTAGTTCCTAGGTTAGAAACTAAATTGTATTACAAATTTAGATATCAATAGATATCATATCAGACATTATCTACAACATATAAAACTTCTGTATCTTAAATTGATAAAATTTTAAATAAATACCTTATAATTAATGTAGGTAAGCCTTAATTAATAAATTAAGAGTTTGATTTGAAAATTAAGTGAAAGTGATATTAAGTGCTTTTCACATATACAGTACAAGACTTGTGTACTACTGTACTACAAGTGCTTTTTCTACAATAAGTTAGTAAAACTACTGTAATAAAAATAATTGAAATGATAATTAAGATCTGAAATTTACTACAAAGTACTATAATTTACCAAAGAATAGTATCTGTTATGAGAACAAATAGATAATTCACAATAATTATCAAATTCCTATATATGGGGTATAAGGATTTAAGTAACAATTCAGAACCTTATAAAATAATGTTTTACAATACAATAGATTTAAACAATCCTTCAATTTAATCAATTAAGTAAACGAATGATTAGATTATCAATTATTTCTTATTGACATCATTTGGAAAATAACTCTTAAATAGAGTAATATAAGACGATTTAAAATTAAATTAAAACACATTAATAATTTAGTTTACCAAACATTAACACAGAAATGTTTAGTAAAATAAACATAATTTGTTTAATTTTCTTTGCAATCTATTCAGTAGAATGCGATGATTTAAATAAACGTTTGGATTGTTATCTGGAAAGTAAGTAATTCATCGTTAAAATAGTTAATTCATATACGATAAAAACTTTATAATAAAAAATAACTCAAAATAATTAATATTTAAATTGTTAGATGACTTCATAGAAAGTAAGTCAGAATGTGAACAAAGAGGCTGTGTTTGGGACGTGACTTCCAAGAGCTCAGTCAGTCCTCAATGCTATTTGAATACCGAAAAGATTGGCTATAATTTGTCGGGAAAGAGGACCAAAACAGCCACCGGTTTTGAGATCGATCTGCAACTCAAAGACACGGCCAAACACTTATTGAAATCAATGTCACAAATTGACAAATTAAAACTAAAAGTAGATTATTTGTCAGAAAATATACTCAGATTTAAGATCTACGACCCGAAAGACAAGAGATATGAAGTTCCCCTTCAGGAGACATTTCCTTNTTAAGATCTACGACCCGAAAGACAAGAGATATGAAGTTCCCCTTCAGGAGACATTTCCTTTACTCTTGCAAAAGCCGGTCATAGACCCGACATCAGCCAAATATTCAGTTGAATTGAATGACAATAACACAGAATTTAATTTGGCTGTTGTTAGGAAAGATACCAAAACAAGAATGTAACCCAGAATAAATTACATATTAATTTTATATACCATCTAAATAATTTGTGTATCCATTTATATGATAACACAGTTTTGACACATCGATCGGTGGACTTATATTCAGCAATCAATTGCTGCAAATGGCCACATATTTGCCGACTCAGCACATCTACGGTTTCGGAGAGAATACACACCATTCCCTTAAACACGATCTCAATTATAAGACATGGAATCTATTTTCTCGGGGAGAGGGACCCGACGAAGTAAGACATTATCTTATTATCATATCATATAAGTTTACATAAATTAAAATCATTTGCCATTAGGGAGTCATCAACCTGTATGGCGTCCATCCCTTTTATACAGGTCTTGAATCTGACGGCAAATCTCATGGAATTCTGTTTCTCAACAGCAATGCAATGGGTATTGAAATATATTACAAGAATATTCTTATATTTGAGTTTTAACAATAAATATTAATTATTTGTTACCAATAGAGTATACACTAATGCCAGAGCCGGCGCTGTCACTGAAGACAATCGGAGGTGTATTAGACTTCTTCGTGTTTGTGGGCAATAATCCCGAACACGTGATCCAATTGTATACACAACTCATTGGACGACCATTTCTACCGCCCTTCTGGTCACTTGGCTTTCAAATAACTCGTTATGGATTCAAAAACACAGCTAATGTTAAGGAAGTTCTTGACAGGAATATAGAGGCAAAAGTGCCACTGGTTTGTATGAGTTATCAGTTTAGCTTAATAGTTCAGCTAGCTCGTGTCTATTTTATTGTAATTCATTGAATTCACTTATGAATAGGACGTCACTTATATAGACATTGATTATATGAATGAATTTCAAGATTTTACATATGCTCAAGATAATTTTTCTGGTTTACCACAATTGATGTCATCGCTTAAGAAAGACCACGACATTCATACCACTCTGATCTTGGATCCGGCCATTCAGGGCAATGATAGCAATTATGGCGCCTTTTGGGACGGCTATGAAAACGATGTGTACGTAAAATGGCCTAAATATGTGAACACAAGCCAACAGCACAATCCGGACGGTGTGAGGACTGATAAGTCAGTCCTGTATGGAAAGGTATGGCCTTACGGACCGGCAGCCTTTCCTGACTTCTTTAAGGATGCCACTAAAAAATGGTGGACTAAATGGATTAGATATATGTATACAGATTTGGATCTTAAGTTTGACTCCATTTGGATTGTGAGTATAGTTTTTTAAGTACAAATGTCAATTACATAATTTTATTTACAGTAAGTTCAAATAAAATATCACCTTGATCATTTAGGACATGAATGAACCATATGATTTTGCGTTTGATGGCTTGTCAAGAGACTACTGTCCCGAAAATGAACTAGATTACCCACCCTCTAGAATTCGTGAGTTACATGTTGTGATTAACATATTTTTGAACTAATTATTGATTACTTAAGAGTCAATCTATGCCTATGAAAACTATACAAAGTTATCGGATGGCACGATATGCATGTGTACAGTACAGGGAGAACAGGGGGAATACACTCACTATGATGTCCACTCACTTTATGCCATCACTGAGAGTATTGCCACTCAAAAGTGAGCCCCCATTTGATTCTTATGAAGTACAGTATATTCTTATAATGATTTTATACTGTATTACTTAACAGAGCCGTACAAGAGATCACTGGAAAGAGAGGTTATGTACTCTCGCGATCCACTTATGTATCTTCGGGTAGATATACAGCCCACTGGACGGGCGATAACATCGCGAGCTTTAGTCAAATGAGAGACTCTATTATCGGTGTCTTGGAGTTCAATATGTTTGGACTCAACTTTGTAATATAACTATTTATAAAATATGCATACAGTATATCATATACCGTATCTATAATTGCGTTAATGAATCCAAATGGGTGTTTGTGGCACAGGTTGGCTCAGATATCTGTGGATTCTTTCATAACACGACTCATGAGTTATGTCGCCGTTGGCTACAAGTGGGGGCTTTCTATCCATTCAGTCGCAGCCATAACGAGATAAATTCAAATGACCAGGACCCGGCTGTTTGGATCATAAATGGTCACCCAGAAGTCACACAAGCCTCCATTAATTCACTAAATCTACGCTACACTCTATTGCCGTATTTATATACACTGTTCTATAGGGGACACACCATTGGCGAGACAGTGGCCCGACCCGTGTTTCACGAGTTCCCTACCGATAAGAATACGTACGATATTCAGGAACAGTTTATGTGGGGTCGCTCTGTACTCATCACTCCTTTCCTTTATGAGGTATTTCTAGCTATTTATCATTTATGTGAATAATTTATAAACAAATTCAAAATTAGGGCAAAACCCAAAGGGAGGCCTATATTCCGAACGACATTTGGTATGAGAGTTGGCCACAAATAGTGAAAGTGAAAGACACGGGAAAGTTAGTAGTCATCAAAGAGAAGAGCCTAACGGCTCCCCCACCCGTCCACTTGAGGGGCGGATCTATAATCCCGATGAGTGTGAAGACTGAACACAAGAACACTAATACTGTGCGACAATCGGCCATCAATTTGGTTGTATTACCGGATCAGTCAAAGCGAGGTTCAGGTGATCTGTTTTGGGACGACGGAGAGTCCATCGATACCATTGGGAACGGAGTCTATAATTACTATACCTTTGAATTGTTGGACAACTGTTCCGTTGTATTGAATGTTAAACATAATAACTATACAAATGTACCGATTGTTGAAGAGATTAGAGTTTATGACACAACTGGTGGAACGGAGTCTATAATTACTATACCTTTGAATTGTTGGACAACTGTTCCGTTGTATTGAATGTTAAACATAATAACTATACAAATGTACCGATTGTTGAAGAGATTAGAGTTTATGACACAACTGGCGGACAAATCACAGCTACTATTGATGGCAAGAGTACCGGTGCTGTTGTCGATAAGGACGGTTCGGCTCGTATTCACACTAATTTAGACCTGAAGGCTAAAAAGGCTGGCGAGCAATGGGTTATCAGTTGGACAGACACTTCAAAGAAATGCAATTTAAACTAACATAATATTAATTGAATATTTTAATTATAAACATTTTAAATGAATTACAATAAAATTATATAAAAATGTCATTTGGTTTATCAATAATCGTTGCATTCTTACTCTCAACGATCTCTTTGACAATATTGTGTGACTGACCACCACATTGATTGCTAATAGAGTAGAGGAATGCCTTTTCCGAGAAACTTAAATACAACCAATTTTTGCTGAAATTGCATGAATCGCACCAGGCTAGGTTACCATTCTTCACTGAACCACTGATCACATAATCCAAATGTTTGATAAACTTGGGATCGCATTCACAACTCGTGTATAACCGCAACGATTTGAAAGCATTTTCGCACACGTTATCAAACTTGAAGACCTGCTTTATTCTGATCCTATAATATCCGTAATTGTCGTCAACTTTGTTGAGCCACGACTTGACGTGTATTTTGATCACAAAATCCGATTGACATAACTGACTGTTAAATGAACCCCGGGTACAGTTACAGGCATCGGTCGCACTCATCAGACATCCCAACACAAGCACTGATATCAGTGTCCAATATATCATTGTATGAATTAAATCGACAGTTGAACTCAAAGTTAGTTTTGATAAAGTTTTAGACAAAATAATTTCAAATCAGAAAATGAAATCAAGTGTGAATTTATTATAGTAAAAAGTTTTGAATAAATTTTGCCCTAATTCTGGAAAAATATGTTTCCATATCTAGATTAGGGTTGAATATAATATACTATTAATGGACAGGTATGGGGGTCAGAATGTCCTGTGCATATTTAATTGCTCATAACATTGACATTATTTTTTGTGTAAATTTAATTATAATACATGTGTTTTTGAAAACTTTTTTCTGAATTAATTTACACTTTCATTATATTCTGTACAGAATTTGTTTCACAATTATTCTTCAAACTGACATCTATTGCAATCGCAAACAATAAATAGGGGAAATATTATATATATATATAAAGGGCACAAATTGTCTCACCTAGAAAACTATACAAGTCATAAAAATCCTGCATTAAATTCCTGTCGAATATTTAGGTCCTTTTATGACTACAATTGAATACTGTTTACATTCGGTCACATGTTTACCACATTTCATAACAAATGCATTGATTTTGTAGTGAATTGTGAGTGAATACAACGAAATGCTGACAAAACGGACAGTTTGTGTGAAATCTGTGGCCAAATGTGTCCACAACTTGACGTTCACTCGACTCATGGCGCGGGCCATACCTCGAGGACAGGACCCACAAGAGGTGGAAGCGATGCCTGTCTTTCAGTACACGGCTTCAGACCGACTGTCGTCCAAACGACACAAACAGCTGTACTTCTGGGGGTATTCAGGGGGCGGGGCTTTGGGGCGGTTGGGGCTCATCCAACGCGTCCAATTCAAGGGTCGCCCCCCTCTGCCACCCGTCGAGACCCGGAGCGCACCCATGAAGTCAGACTTCGTCGACCTCCACACCAACGTCGTCGACGTGTCCGCCGGCTTCGGGTTTACGGTAACCATTGGATCACATGATCACCAATTGGTCCGTTGGCTTCACTCCTCACACTCTTTCAGGTGATCGCAGCCGTCGCCAAAGACTCGTCCCATCGGCTCTTCGGTTGTGGTATTAATACAGACTCACAGTTAGGCTATCAGTCGCCTCCCGGTCCCAAAGGCGAGCCATTGATGTGTCTCTTCAAACCGGTTCCCATCAGACTTCCCATCAGTGAAAAGGATAGAGTGGTTCGCGTCTCATGCGGTCGATCGCACACCATATGTGTGACCAGTTCTTCACAAAGTTAGCCATACATTCACCACAATCTCTGCATTAACCCTAATCTCAACGAATTCTTTGTTTGGATGTAGTCTTCAGTTTAGGGAACAACTCGTTCGGACAGTGCGGACGACCCATAGTTGACAACGAGGTATACTTCCCGTCACAACGTATTCACCAAATTCAAGAGATTGACGACAAAGTGATCGATGTATGCATTGGTTTGCTTTATCACAGTTAAGACATGCGTGTAATATATGATTACTTGTGAGGACAGGTAGTCTGTGGTCAGGATCACACCCTATTCCTCACCGAAAAGGGAAGCGTCTATTCGTGCGGTTGGGGCGCCGACGGACAGACAGGGTTAGGACACTATCGCAATGAGGGTATACCCATCAAAGTGAAGGGCGATATTGAAGGCGAAAAGATTATACAGCTGTCGAGTGCCGCCGACTCTGTGCTCGCGTTAAATGGTTTTTATAATGAATTTATTTTAAATCTATATTTCACTAACAATTTATTGAAATGTTTGTGTAGACAAAGGGGATGTGTTTTGTTGGGGTAACTCTGAATACTCACAGTTTCAGACCATTACCAGTGAAAGACAACTAAATGTTCCCAAAAATATTAAATTCAATAATATTAAGGGAAAAGTGGTTAATGTATGCGCCGGTGGCTCTGTGTGCGCTCTCGTCAATGGTTTGTATATTATTTTTAATCTGAATATACCTGTAATTAATGATATGACGTAACTTTATGTATAGATTTAGGAAATGTGTACGTTTGGGGGTTTGGTATCCTGGGAATGGGTCCCAAAGTGCAACAGTTAAAGACACCGACAATGCTTCCGATGCCACTGTTTGGNTTTTAATCTGAATATACCTGTAATTAATGATATGACGTAACTTTATGTATAGATTTAGGAAATGTGTACGTTTGGGGGTTTGGTATCCTGGGAATGGGTCCCAAAGTGCAACAGTTAAAGACACCGACAATGCTTCCGATGCCACTGTTTGGTGCGAATGAGTTCAACCCAAACGTGAAAGTAGTGAAAGTTGAGGCCTCTTTCAGCCATTTGGCAGCCATTACCAGTTCGTGCACTCATTGAATGTATAATTTAAATAATATTTATAATTCTGTTTTTAAATTGTAGATAAGGGCGACCTTTTCATGTGGGGTAAAAATACTAAGGGATGCTTAGGTCTGGGCCACTACGCCGACCAGTATTTCCCATTTAGAGTATGTTTTAAAATACAACTTATACCGTAATACAGTATACCGTAACAGAATTTAATGCCATATTTGTATTTTTATGAATAGGTATGCGTTCCCACAGTAGTCCGCAAAGTGAGTCTCGGAATAGACCACACGGTAGTCATCGGGACTTCTATTTTATGATAGCATTCAATGATTGTTAAAACTTTATTTTGTAATATATAGTATAATAGGTATGCGTTCCCACAGTAGTCCGCAAAGTGAGTCTCGGAATAGACCACACGGTAGTCATCGGGACTTCTATTTTATGATAGCATTCAATGATTGTTAAAACTTTATTTTGTAATATATAGTACCGGTAATAGACATGTTATAAATGAAATAAAATCTACCTTATCCTATGACATATTGCCGGCAATTAAAAGTCATTTTCAATGATTTTATGTGTCCCGAAATCGTATGCAATAATACCAGACGCCTCCCCTCTCAGGTATATAATATTTATTTTAATTAAAGTTAATAATGAGAAAACATTTATTTTGAATGGGAGTGTGTGTCAAAAAGGTATCTGATGAGTTAGTTGGTAACTAAACAAACCACTTGAGGCACATAATGATGTAATGCCTTCAAATGCTTACACCGAATATACTCTTTCGGTGTATTGAGTGTACAGCAAGATATTCAAATAGTATTCAGACATACATTACCTTGAGTACACTGATATTAAGATTCACTGAATAGTATTATTTATAATTCAACTATGCTGTAATTTTAACTGCTTATCTGTCTATCCTTTAACTATACTACCGATATTTCTAAATACATACATACAGTACAGTAGATGCTCTATTTCAGTGTGAAGTATATTTTGAAATTTTCAATTTAAATTCTATAAATAATTTTTCAATGAATATACATTAATATGAATGCAAGTATGTGTGCACTCAGAGTATTACAGACCATTAAGCAATTTTATATAAATTCTATACAAGTAGCTTATATAAAAATTTAATCAAAATATTCAAGGCTGTGAACAATAAACAACCGATAACATTTGAATGAATACATGTTTATGAAATAGTACTGATTAACTGTAATTGTTAGTTTATATAACATAGGACTTAAGGAATTAATATTTTATATTCAAACTAAGTCAAATATTTCATTATAAAATATTATTTTTGTTAATTAAAGTTTGCCTGCTTTCAATTACAATGATTTTAACCTGGTTATTCGTTTGTTTGATTTCTATCATACCTTTAATTTATTGGTAAATATTATACTTAAAATGTTATTTATTTTTTATTACATAAATCTTTTTTAAAAAGACACTCATAAATTTAGTAATAAATTATGTTTGTCCATAAATTGGTTTTTGATGTTGATAACCAGTTTTGAGCCTTAGCAACCGGGTTTTGGTTATGGATAAAAACCATTAGAGAACCTAAAGAAGTAATAGGGAGTTGGCCTACAAGAAATTAATTGGCTTAACAAATATGGAAAGATTTACGGGTATTATAAAGATCTAAAAATTATACATTCAATTAGACATAGTATAGACAGTAATTTATATATTATTATAGACCATTAAAATTAATAATTTTTAAAAATCTTTGCAACACAGATATTACCTGAGAAATAGTCCGGTGCTTACTATATGTGATCCGGAATTAATAAAAACAATTTTAGTGAAAGACTTCCATATATTCACTGACCGACGAATTCAGGCATACTTCAGAGCCGTGGGCTAATACTCATTCTTAAACCAACTGCAATGGCCTCTACTGACCTTCTCTTAGTCTAGCTATCGGTCAGGCTGTAAGTGAAGGCCTTTCTACTTCTTTTACATAGGTTCTTATAGAGAGTGTTTGACAGACTTTATGAGCCATTTGGAGGGCTTTGCAGTAAATAAGAAAGAAATTAATATAAAGGATATGTACGGGAACTACACTATGGATGTGATCGCCACGTGTGCCTTTGCCACGAAGACCAATGCTCACAACGATTTGGACAGTCCTTTCGTATTAAACGCTAGAAAAGTGTTTAATTTTAATATCATAAAAATACTGTCACTCATAGTTTTGCCCACATTTTTGGTGAAAAGAATTTTCGGCGGAAATAAGGATAAAACTGGAGTCGAGTTCTTCTTAGAGACCACCCGTCAGATCATTTCTACCAGACGTCAGAGTAAACAAAAGTATAATGATTTCATTCAACTGCTTATGGATGTCGAGAAGGACGGAGACATCACTAGAGATGAGGCAGATATACATGAATCACATCATGTAAACGAAGGTATGAAATCATTGCTAATATATCTTAAGACTAATAATGAATTGATTGTAAAGGAGAGGAAGAGTTGGAAAGTGAGAAGAAGGCTTTGAATGTGAATTTGGTTAACAAACAGTTGACTGAATATGAAATCCTGGCGCAGGCTATCGTCTTCTTTTTAGCCGGGTATGAGACGACGGCCACTACTCTGACGTTCTGTACGTATGAGTTGGCTCTCAATCAAGATATTCAGG